TTCATGCCTAGCAAGTATCGGGCGCCCGTTTCGCCCTGCCCTTTGGTTGCTTTTGCTGTCAAAGGAAAAGAGGGCTGGGAATACGAAAAGCTTCTCCAGGCTCCTGCCGATGAAGGTAGTCAAGATGCCGAAGGCTGCCAGCGAGCCCAAACTCGGGCTAGGGCCACAGAAGCTTTTCCAGCAATTCTGCTATGAGACGTGCAACCGCTCGTCAGCAAGAGTGGGGGGAGCAGACAGCACAAGCTGCAAAGCGCTTAGGCTTGGCCGCCGGAAGCGTGCCACACGTCAGCCTTCTCCTCATGTTGGCGCATCACGGTTCTGCGCAGCTTTCTCGCTTGCTGAGGGAAGCACCTGTACCTGAGGGCGTCATAGGGTCCTCCACTTAATTCCTGCATACGCTTGGAGAGAGGTGTCACTTGCAACCTGGCGTCAACATGTCCTGGTTGCGTGACTAGGTGCTACGGCGATTTCTGTCGAGCAGACTTCCTGTTCCCGAATAGCTTGAAGGACACTGGCCATTGAATGACCCGGGGGACGTGTAATCAAAGTCAAGCCCAGGCAGGACGCGTAAAAGTATTACTGTACTATGATATAGTATGGTTATACCATGTTATAGTATGGTTCTACTATATTATGGTTTATACTATGATACTATACTATACTATACTATGATATTATACTATACCATGGTATTATGATACTGTATTATAGCATTACAATATTGACTCCTGACTTGTCCATGTTGGTCCTGTGCAGGACATCGAGCTGCTGGATGATGCCTGGACAAGGCTCGCCGTAAGCAAGCAGTACATTTTAATAGTATGTTGTGGTATATTCTAATATATTGAAATATATTATAGTATATTATAGTATAGTATGGTATTTTATAGTATATGATAGTATATTATGGAATATTTTAGTATAGGGATGATGGAAAAGAAGATGGAAACTACTACAGTCTAATAGGATGCAAGGTCGAGACAGAAACCGGTTGTGACAGGCAGGGGAGAGAACTCTGCAACAAGAAGGCCCAAAGCATCTTGGACAGTGGTTTAGGGGTTTAGGGTTTAGGGCTTAGGGGTCTAGGGTTTAGGGTTAAGGGTTTAGGGCAATTTCCGATAGATTTGAGTGCTCCTGCATCAGCTTCGCGTGATTCTTGTCAGATGGCGACTGCTACCACTCTCTTGGTTTGGACACATCAATATGATTGGTCTTACACTTATCGGTAATACGGCTGTCAGTGCTTTCCTGCGCCATTTCTACCGCAATTATCTATAACCCCTATATCCCCCTCCCAAAAAAACCACACATATCCCTAATTAATGGTCCTGAGAACGGTCGGTTTTAGCGATGGACCCTGGCGAGGTGTCACTTTCCCCTGGTGTCACTTTGGGCTGTGCGCTTGAGCCAGAGGACCTGACAACATGGCACATCCCATCAGTTATAGTCATAGTTCACTTTATCCTCCTTTGAAGGTTTTGGTTACTGGTTCTTTGTAGGGAATAAGGGAATATACTATATGGGTGGTTGTCAAAATTATGGTGCCTTTTTGGGTTGCCTAAATATTAGGTGTCGTATCATAAAGAGGACCCAAAAGGGGACCATCATTTTGACAACCACCCATATAGGGCTTGGGGTTTAGGGTTTAGGAGCCCTACAGAAAGCTTGACGGTGAGGAGCTGGTAGCTTGCCTGGACGAGAACCTGGAGCCTGTCGCGCCCAAGCTCGCCCGGGAGCCTAGAAAGCTAGCTGGGCAACGTTTGCGATTCACTACCCTAAGCCCTAAACCCCTAAACCCTAAACCCCTAAACCCTAGACTATGAAGCTTAAACCCTAGCATGATGAGACTCCTGAAGATGGCCAAAATATACTGCAGTGGTTTCCATTTTCTTACCATTATCCCAGTATAATCCCCATATTCCCCCTATAGTACTATATTACCCCCGTATAACCCCCTATAAGGCCCTTAAAACGGGGGGTTGATACGTATAATCCCTATATAACCCCAATGTATAACCCTAAACCCTGAACCCTAAATCCTCAACCCTAAACCTCTAAACCCTAAACCCCTAAACCCTAAACCCTAAACATTCCAGCTCTCCTCGGGTTGCCCTGACCTCGCGGAGGCCCGGCGACGCAAAGCTGATCCGCTTCCTGGCCGGGCCGCGCTCCCCAGTCTGGTTTTAAGGTTTAGGGTCTAGGGGTTTACGGTTTAGGGTTTAGGCAAATCTTCTCATCAGTTGGGGTGAAGGTGTTCCATTACTGATGTCGCTGACGTACTGCTAGCCAAGGCTGAACTTACTTGTACGTGGCAAACGTGCCTCTGCAGTACAAGTAGTGGTGGTGAAGTTGATAATGTACTTCAATCGCGATGCCATTACTATTATTGTTACTATTATGATGAGTATTGTCACCACCTTATGCACGGCATGGGCACGACGCGCACGCAGCACTGGTAGCGTGCGCAACGAAGCGTTGAGGTTTGCCTCTCTCTGATCATGGAAGCTCGCAGCCATCCCGCCTTCTGTGGTCAGCTGGGCAGATGGATTGCTGCTGTTGTCACATATATAGGAATAATGGAACATCGCTGGTATATTGGGGTTATATTGGGATAATACAGGGATAACGGCAAAGAACATGGAAACCACTATGTAGTATATTGTCTGACGTGAAATCAGTAACGGCCTGGCTTGGATCCTGTGAGTGCAGCTATTAATTGCTACGACTCCTCACCTAAACCCTAAACCCTAACCCCTGAACCCTATACCCAAAGCCCTAAACCCTGAACTATCAACCCTGAATCCTAAACCCAAAGCCCTAAACCCTGAACTATGAACCCTGAACCCTAAACCCAAGCACAGGATGGCTGCAAGCCCTCAGCTGGCGCCTGGATACCGGAGATGCCTTCGCGGTGACCTCCGCGGCAGCCAAACTCAAGGAGGCTCTCGAGTAGAGGAGTTTTCTTGGGAAAGCCTTAGGTTGTATAGGGGTTATATTACTGGGTTATAGGGTCATTATGGGGGTATATAGGGGTCATTTGGCAAACATTTGGGTGATATAGGGATAATGGAAAAGAAAATGGAAACTACTATTTACTTTCGCCACCAAAAAGAATCTGGTGAGGATGAGGTTGATGGGGGCGGCGACGTATCCAAGCGCATGGCAGTGGCCTCCGTGAAATCCGGTGAAATGCGATTGTATGTGTTTTGATGTGCTCGGAATTGGCATTTGCTCCCCTATCCTCGAGGATGGGTCTCTGGCGGGGTTCAGGCGTGGCTTGAGAGTACCATTTTGTTGTTGTGCCTAAGCTGTGTGGCAGGTACCGGCTCAGGGTGGTACCCGTATGCCAGACTTGCCTGTCAGTGTACAGGATCATTCACGATGCTGGAGCCTTGCAACAGTCTTGATGCTGCCCTGGGTTTGCTCCAAAGCACAGCCAGGCCATTACCATGGTCCGAGTGCGGAGGAAGGCAGGTTCTGTGACTCATAGGCAACAGCAGACAACAGCTGTTTGTTGTGTAGCAGTGGTCAGGACTTGTGGGCTGCCAGAGAGCTGGAGCGGAAACGCCGCGAAGAGGATGAAGAGAGGCGGGCTGAGTGCTGAGGTGCTTGATGCATCTTGATGGTGCTCGCGTGCACTAAGATGAAGTTGCTCTGGCCCAGGGAGCGGATCAAGCAGGCAGAGATTGAGCGCATGCTCGCATACCAGAGGCAGAGGCCCTCTCTCCTCTCACTGCAACTTGCCGTGCTACTTGCGATGCCGTGCTGTTCAGGGCCTCTCAGCCGAGTCCACGCCCCAAGGTGAGCTCGAAAATGTAAGATCTGCAAGCCAAACGAATGAGTTGTGTGAACTGCCAGAGACAGCTGTGCCTGTGCAGGGAACTTCTGTTCTTCTAAGGCAGAGCCCTGGCCTCAGGATTCAGCAGTTGCAGCCACAGTGTTCCAAACCCATATAGCTGAAGAAGTCCCGAGATTTTGGAAAGGCCTTTCAGAATTCGCTGTTGTTTAGCATGATGGTCTGCTCACCGTTTTGCTTAAACGGTACAACTGCATTGTTTTGAGAGAGGTCAGGGCTTAAAGGTGATTGTGTTGCTGGGTACTTGGCCGTTCGTTGGCAGTCGCTGGGTGAGGCGTGTAGCTGACCTTACATGGATGAAGTGCAAACCTTTGGCTGCTTCAGACCATATCTTTCAGTGCCTCAGCTCAATGCACCTGGATGAACCCCAATATAGCCCCAGTATACTATAGTAGTTTCCATTTTATTTTCCATTATCCCCAATATAACCCCAATATAACCGAGAATTGCAAGGTCTCTTCCTGGACCCAGAGGTGCAGGCGCGTGCAACGAGATTGAACGGCCGAGGAGGCTTTTCAGCTGACAGGTTGGTTGCTTTTCACAATGCCAGGAGTTCCTGCGGTTGATCCCAGATTCTCCGAGTGGGACGTGACTCAGATGCAAGAGGGGGGCAGCTTGCAAGCTTCTCTTGGGGGCCCAGCCGCACCAACCTTCAGGATCCTGCGATCCTGAACGACATGGGCTCCCCACAGCATGTATTCCACACAGCTGTGCCCTTGGAGGCCTCCCGCCTTCCGACCGCTTGAGCCTCAAGGCACACAAGCGAGTTCTCAGCAGGAAGGGCCTGGGAACGCGCAGAATGCTTGGACCACAGCAGGTGCAGTGGAGGCGGAGTCGGTGAGCATGCGGAGGTCCATCAGGCAAGGCTCAACATTGATTCGAGTACCAGGTGCTGATCCAAGCCTAGCTGCATGCAAAATTTCTGGCTGAATCCTGGCTCTAGCTGAGATTAACGGGAGGGGGTAAAGAGGACATGAGGGACATGCAGCTGGCAGTAACCTTTGCACGGAGGAAGGTGGAGGTGGCATTTGTAGTGTCCAACTTCGCCGCCATCTTGCCATGAAGCAGCTTCGAAGGCGGCCGGGCTAGGTTCGGCCCTTCTCTGTTTGGCGGGCACACAACACTGCCTCGTGGTCTGCAGGCTATGACCGAGGGTCGTTGGCCACCCCCAACAAAGGCGCCTGGCGCGGCACCGAGCTTCTGTCAAAACAGTGGTGGCCTATGCCAGCAACCAGAGCTGTTTTACATTTAAGTCTGGGTGGGTGCTGCAAAAGCAGACTATGGGATGTGCGTGGTGTGCTGTTCACAACTTCCGGCTTGTGGTTGCTAACACAGAGCTGTGTAGCAAGAGCTGAGGTCTGGAAGAGTGGAGACAGCGTTTGGAGGCGCAGACTTCAGTCCCTATGTTCCCCCAGTTCCCATTTGATTGTCTATTTTCTTTTCCATTTGATTTTTCCATTATAGGAGGATAATATAGTATATACTGGTAGTATAGTAGTTTTCATTTTGTTTTCCTAAACCCTAAGCCCTATATACTATAGTAGTTTCCATATTCTTTTCCATTATCCCGATATATATATATATCCCCAATATAACCCCAATATATTACAGTAGTTTCCATTTTCATTATTCCCGTAAATAACCCCAATACCCTAAACCCTAAACCCTAAACCCTAAAAAACCCTAAACCCTAAACCCCTAAACCCCAAAAAACCCTAAAATCGCATGGCGATGCCATGCCCAGCTCTGCAGACGACTCCCGGAGGCCGCTTTCCGACGCTCAGCCACAGCGCCAGCTTTGGCTTCTTTGGTTCCAGAGTCGACGAGGCGGTGCTTTGGGGCTTAAGGGTTTCGGGTTTAGGGCTTAGGGGGTTTAGGGGTTTAGGGGCTTAGGGGATTTAGGGGTTTAGGGTTTAGGAAATTTGAGGGTAAGAGTGGTTGGATTCCCTGTGTTGCCAGGGCATCTTCGTGCTCCGGCCCCGATGGTCCAGACGGTTGCTCCTCAAGTGCTTGTGTCCTACTGGCCTGTCATGACCATGGCCACAGTGGCACTTGATAGTTTCCTTAAAGAGGGGGACCACAATATAGGCCCCCAAATACTTTAATCATTATTATGGAGACCCCCAAACAGAGTACCCCTAATTTTGGGAAAGCCCCAATTTCAGAAGCTGCAAAGACAGGATCTTCTTGACGAGAGCCCAGGCTTTGCAGAGGTGCCACGCAGCTGTAGTTTGGTGAGCCTGAAGGTAAATCTGCAGTTTCAAGCTGCAACTAGAATATGGGTCCCCCTTTAATGTGTCCATTTTTTATGGATTCATTTCTTCTGGCAGATGATAGTAGTAAAAGTAATAATAGTTTAATAGGGGAAGCTAGTCTCCGCATTTGATTTGATTTTCGTGTGTCGCTTTGGAACAACAGGCTATCCAGCAGGGATGCTTCCTGGTTCAGCTCACTCTGAGTTGGATCCATTCGAAAACTGCGTGTTTTGTCATGTCTGCCCAAAATCCCGACCCCATCTGACCAGTACAGCAACTTTCGCCTGCTTGCAATTAGCACCTCGAGATATTCAATCTCAGCCATACGAAGCGTGTCCACTAAGTCCAAATTACGGCAACATGACCTTTCGGTGCATGTCTTGATTATTCATGGAAGTAGGTCTGGCAGAATGCAGCTGTCACGAGTTTCTTCTCGCCATGACCAATGGGGAGGTTTGTTTGGGCCTTGTGTTTGCTGAGCGTCGATATTTTTGAAAGATTGAGCAGTGCACCGCTGAAATCCGTACATCTTGCGAGCTATAGTCTAAATAAACTCCTTTAAGGGTTAAATAGGTGATTCTATAGGGGACTACACGCGGGCTATTATGGGGGATACTAGGAGTTCAGACTATAGCTCATGTGGGTCATCCATGCAGAAAAGCCTCACCAACCCGAACCGACAATGTTCTTGCCATGTAAGCGTAAGGTGGCACAACATGAGCGCGCAAGACTTCATGCAGAGAAGGGACTGCCATTTTATGGCTACGACTCATGTGAGTCCTGAGATGCTAGAACTTGGGGCAATGTGCATGTGGAGGCGGGCCAACCGGCCCCCGCAGTGGATGCTCAGTGGGAGGAGGCAGGCTTTGCTAATGCTGCTCTGAACGCCTCTCGCAAGATCTGTACCCACGCTGATAATGATGGTGATGATTCTTTTGACGATGGTGGCACGATGAATGAGTGGTGATGGTGGTTGTGGTGGCCCTAAACTCTAAACCCTAAACCTTAAACCCTAAACACTAAACCCTAGTTGGCACCTTCTCACTGTCATCGTTGTTGCGAGGACTTCCTCACAGAGCTTTACCGCCTCGACCTGGAGCGCTTGGAGAGTGAGCAGTGCGCACAGGCACCTCGCTTCGTGGTTGACTGTTAAAAAGTGCGAAGTTGCATGTGATTTTTTGACAAGCACTTGGCAAAAAGTGCATGGAAATGCCATCGGCCAAACAAACAACGTGGTATTTGCACCAGTTGAGGCTTCGAAGCCCCAAATCCAGTGCATTTATTTAAGACTTGGGGGGAGGGGGGGGGTGTTCGCTCACGGGTAAAGTGTTAACCTAGCTTCTTGCCCACGCTTTACCGATGGCTCCAAAGGATTGAAGACAGAGAGTAAGCTCAGCGGCTTCCACCAAGAAAAGCATGGCAAAATGCGGGTCGCTAAGAACATGAACGATCCTGGAGAAGCGCACTGGGCGCTAGTATGGACGTTTCTGACACCTCGTACTGAATCTCAAGATTATCCTCATGACGTCCTTCTTTGGGTTCCTGGACTCTTTTTCTTCGTGGTCGTGTTTTAGGATCTCCAATCTGCATTTTTTTCCGGAGTGTTGATGTAGACTGACGCCCTGGTGTGTTGATGTAGACGGACACCCCATGATGCCATGCACCTCGTACATTCATAGCCCTGTTTACTCGTTTGTTGGGAAACTGTTGCACGAGGCCTTCGCCGAGGGCTTTTTTGTGTTGAGCACTTTAGGAGCTATGCCCCTTAGAGCGGCAATATTTGTTTACTTGGATAGGTCACGCATGCTTAGCGCCAAGTCAGCGGAATTTTTTGCTGGCTCGACGAGTCACTGCTGCAAGCACAGCACTACACGTACAGCGCGGTATGCCGAAGCCCGAACCAGAATGACGGTCTCTATAGGGTTTGATAGGATTGGACGGTTTTTTTTTGGGATTATCTAGGGTTATCGCACTACCAAGCCTTGGTTTTCCTGTACGATTTTTTCTTTGGCGAGAAGTTCACAACCACCACAAATTGCACTTTTTCGGCAAGTTGCTGCTCTTCAGAAACAACCCCCAAAAGACCGTTCACGCAAGGTTTAGATGGTCTTCATAGTCATGATGCTGGCACACAGAAAGAAAAGGAACATTGTGGTTAAGTTGGTTCGGAAGTCTAAGCGTAAGCAAGCAGTGATGTAGCAGGCTGAGCAGCTGGAGAGGCTGGAGAGGCCTCTTCTTCTTGTAGTCTTGAGGGGCTGGGGTTGTAAAGTATACAATGGGATATACTGGTTTTATATAGGGTTATATTGGGGCTATATATTAGGATAATGGAAAAGAACATGGACACTACTATAATGGGTTTAGATTAGAAGAATCTTGCATCTTGGATCCTCCAGGCTTCCCCTGCAGGATGGGGGCTTGGAGCTACAGCGCTGCCTGGGGGCCCAGAAACCAGCAAGTTGCCGAAGGGCGCGCTTCTCTAAAGTTGTCAGGCCGCGAGTCCTTGTTGGCTTTGAGGCGGGGAAACATGCTCGGTGAGCTTGGTACATCTTGGTACTTGGTGGGACGTACATGTTGCAGGCAAGCTCACGAAGAGCTTCGTGTGGAGTTGGCTGCGGCGGGAGCCTTGGCCAGGGCCTGCTGAGAACACGTCCCAAAGTGAGCAAAGTGTCTCCAGGTAATTCGAGCGTCGCCGGCCGCGCAGGCCGCACAAGCCTTGCAGGCTCCAGAGGCCTTGCAGGCTTCCGAGGCGCTGCAGGCCGCAGATACGCAGATACGCAGATGCAGTTGCTGCAGATGCTGCAGATGCCTCACAGATCTGGTGTGTTACCGCCCCTGATGTCAGGGCGCAACAACAGGTTGCTTACTGCAGTGACGCCATAGAAACGTTGAAGCTGAGAGTTCCTCTAGCACAAGACCTGGAACAGGGCGTTTAGCAAACAAGTTACAAGTGGGCAAGGCTGTGATGGGAAAGTGCTTCTCTCACATCCGGTCTGTGTCTTTTGCTAGCTGACTGCGTGGTGCCTGGCAGAGTCCAGAGGACCTGCTGTGCAGCTGCTCCGAGATTAGAAGATAGTCCTGTTCCAATCGCTTCCGTCTTTTTCGCACATGCCTCAAAGGAGGGAGCGCCCTGTTTCACCCTGTAGCACAGGCGGCTAGGCTGCAAAATGTTATCGCCCAAGCACCAGTTTGCCAAGCCTGCTTACAAGCTTGCTCTGGAGCTCAACTACTGCCGTTTTGCAGGAATCGTCGGAAGGCACTTTTCGAGAGCTTGGGAGGCCTTGAGGAGAAGGAGACTTGAGGCTCTCCATGTGGATGCCACGTTAGTGGCTGTGCTGCCCAACTCGCGCATCACCAAATTGGCAAGCTGCCTGAGCTGTCAACAGCATGAAGCGCAAACCATGTCACATTCTGACAGCGAGCGTAGCACAGCTGATCTTGGGCCGCCCTTCAAGTTGCATGCCACAAGGTCCTGAGGTCCGTTTCACGCCTGGCGCATCTAATTTCAGGTGCTCTGGTGAACAAGTTCGTTATCTGTCTGTAAGCTCGCAAATGCAAAGCTGCGTAGAGCGGCTAGCCTTGTCCAAGCAGGCCACCGCCCAACCTCGGCCCAGAGGAGTTTCCAGCAAGACTTGCGATACAGCTCTCCGACAGCAGCCACAGCAGTCTTTCGAAACTGTAGAACGCTTCCATGCTTCATATTATGCAAACGGTATTCACTGGTAATGATATGCAGTGACGACATGAGATCGGCGCAACAGAGCTATGTTCCTCCTGAGTTGCGGGCAGTGCGCTTCAGCATCTCGGCCGCAAGAAGCGTTTGTGATCGGTTCGCAGCTGCCTTGGAGTCGTTTGCAGTGTCTGGTAGAGGTACCGTGGTCAGCTTTCTGACCAAAGATGCTGCCTGGCTCTTCGGTAGAAATGGCGTCATTGTCCAAGACGTGGCCAGAGTTACTGCAGCTCCCCGCACGCGGTGTTTTACAACCTCGGACCACTGCCTGCATCCATTCGACTCCGTCACTTTCAGCAACGTGCAGCCGGTGATGCGCGAAATAGTCCGACATGTGACAGACAGGGATGAGACCGAGGTAGCAAGCCGAAGTGCATCACCGTCACGGACAGTTCGCACGCCAATGTCCGCAGGGAATCCAATTCCCTGCATCACCGACATCACAGATCTCAACAGTGGACAGGCATTCCTCATCATTGACGTTCCCGGCGCTCGGGAGTTCGTTCTCAAGCTTGACTCTTCTATTTGTGATGAAGATGGTCAAGGGGGCCAGATCTCTGCCCCAGTCAACATGTACAAGCTTTGTGCAGAGGTTGTGATTCCAAGGACTGTGGTGCCTGGGCTTGGAAGTAAGTGGATTTCGAGCTGTGGGCTAGCCGGGAGTCTCTGTAGTGATGCTGGCAACCTAGTGATGTTCGCAACCTTGACATTGCTATGCCCTACGCATCAAGTTTGATTTATGCTGGGAATGGGAGGACCTCTGTTGTTGGTATCTGAGAGGAACCACAGGCAAGCGCAAAGCCGTTCTAACGTGATGCAGCAGTCAAGGACTCGGGTCTTGTCGTGGGTAATGTGGCGGAGCACGAAAGAAGTAGCAAGGGCTGATTGGGATCACATCGGACATTGGCGTTTCTCAACATGTTGGACCCCTTTTCTGGAATCCTATGGTTCAGGGATGTGTGTCTAATGTGGAAGGAACCTGCATCAAAGTAGGGGAGTGAGACGGTAGTTCCAAACCATAGTCTAAACTCCTATAGTATCCCCCTTATAATAACCCCTACCGTAGTCCCCTGTTTGGGTGGGTGGTTGTCCAAATTATGGTCCTTTTTTGGATCCCTATTTTAATACAGTACCTAATATTTAGGGTACCCAAAAAGGGACCATAATTTTGACAACCACCCATATAATCAGTAGTCCCCTACTTAGTATCCCCGTTATAACCCCTACAGTAGTCCCGCACGTAATCCCCCCAAGCACCACAAGCGTGCACTTTGGTCCAAGGTGAAGGAGCAGCTTTGCCGAATCTCATCTGGCGAGGAGATGCGCGAGCTGGTCGCCTCTCTCTCTTCAGAAGCGGATACTTGGTCCATTTGCCGATCTGATGATGATGATGATGATGATGATTCATGATTCACGATTCATGATGATGGTGGGGATGATGGTGATGATGATGTCAGACTACTGTACCTGAAATTAATTGTTTTGATGGGGCATGCAAGAAGGCCTTGGGGTTGAGCTCGTTGGCTGCTGGCTTGATGCTGATGGTATTCATGCTGTGTACGCGCTTATCTTACCAAAACCTTTACTTGCAAATTATGGTCGAAGAAGACTAGAGGCACAACTTAGGACATGACTCTGACACAGTCAGTCCGTCTGGGAGGAACCGACGTCCCTGGTGGCATGACCCTTCATGGTCGACTATCCCCCAGCGGTTTCATGCGCAAGCGGTACTGGGATTCTTCCTTGCGGGAGAGGAGCACCTGGACATCGGCGACGGGCCGCTTTGCAGATCTGGCGCAAGTCTTCCTGAAGGGAGCGTCGGAGCTGGAGAACAAGCTTCAAGACAGCAGGAAGCTGGATGTCGGTGATTTCATCGTATTCCGCCAGGGAAGATCATTTGCGGAGACCTGTCATCAGGGTCTCGCGGCTGATGTGTACTTGTCCCACTTCTGGGGTCAGCCTTGCGCAGAGCTGCTCACCATTTTGCAACAGCACTCTCACAGGCATCGTCAGGCTTCACCATCAAATCCTAACCCATCCTATTGGATATGTACATTGGCCAACAACCAGCACAGGGTTGACTTGGGAAGTCACTGGAAGGAGAGCCCCTTCTACCGTGGCATGCGATCCTTGCGAGAGACTGGTGGTGGCGTGCTAATGGCCATGGACCTCGTGGCGTCAACATTGACAAGGCAAGGTTGCAAGCTTCTTGTTCTGGGATGAAAATCAGTGCCCTTGCCTGAGGATCTGGTGCATCTTCGAGATATATGTGTGCGCGGAGCTGAATCTTCCCCTACAGCTGTTCTCACCAGATGGAGAAACATGGTCAGCAATCAGTAGCTCGAGGATGCGCAAGGTGTGAAGCGACTTCATTTTTCAAGCTTCCAGCGTGGCCATCCCGAGGACCTGTCAAGTTGCACCGGGCTTCGGGCCAAGATCATAGCAGAGAACATCACGAAGCTGGACTTCCGTCGTGCTGAGGCCTCAGTTCCCGCCGACAAGGCCATGATTCTGAAGGCCATCGAGGATTTGGATGGTGGCTTGGAGCGTGTAGAGTGGACAGTGAAGCATCTGGTCACGGACTTCGAGCCTGGCGCCCAGAAGATCATATCACAGGGATCGGGGACTGCAAAGGCTGTAGTTCAGAATCCCAACAGAGGGCACCTGTATTTGGCATTTAGATCCGTTTTCATCACTTGAGCTGCAAGGTCTTTTCTCTATGCCAGCCAGCGTGCTGAACACCCCATCACTGGGGAAGCGCTGAGCCTGAGCACTTCAGGCTGGGACGGCCCAATCCCTTGACGGGACTGAATCCTAAATAGTAGTCTCCATTTTTTAGGATTATATGGGGAGAATCGAAAAGAAAATGGAAACTACTATTTAGGGTTAATATATTCCCCATATAATATACCGCTGTTTTTTGATGAGAGTCCGAGCGGAAGAGGGCGGCTTTAGATGTCAGGGGATGGGTGGCTGACTGAATAAACTAATATCTATTTCGGATTCACTTGGTTGCAGGCGAGGACATGATGCCCTGCCGCATCCGGACAATTTGGAACTCCTTCTTTGCGCGGGGGCAAGTTTTCGGTGTGGAGCACATTTCCCAACGCTTGCAAGCGGGCGACCTGTTTGTACTGGAAGGTCCCGGTGGGAGTGGGAAGAGTGTGGTGACCAAGCTCCTGGCTAAGCACTCCACAGGCTGCGGCGTTCTATGCCTACGAGTTCCTGTTTCGCAGTTGGCCCAAGTCTGTCATGATATGAAGATGGAAGGAGAGGACGAGAGGCAGGAGCAGCAGGAGCAGCTTTGCAGGGACCTTCTGATGCTTTGGGCCGTGAAGCGATTTGGCGACGCTGCGAACTCCCTTGCGCAGCCCAAGGATCCCATCATTTTGATCCTGGATGGCCTGGATGAAGCACGTGCAGAGCTGGACAGCATCCTCAGTTGGCTCCGCTTCCAGGTGCGGAACCGAAAATCGCTGGGCACCTTCCGGGGATTTCTGATCACGCTGAGAGAGACGGGACGAGCTGCCTGCCAAGCCAACCTCTTCAGCATGGGATTCGCCTTCCTCCGCATCGAGCCACTGTCTCCGGCAGATGTGGTCAGCGCTGCCAAAAGCACTGGGCAGGACAAGCAGACAAGGTTTCGAAAGCAGCGAGCTGTTGATACTTACTATTGCATGTTGAGGCCGATCGCGGTTGTTCCAAAGGAATCTCAGCTTTTTGCTGAGGGGGCTTGTTGAAAGTTCATTCTTTCATAGGAAAGCGCAGCGTGAGCAGGGGGGAGCTACTCATAGATCAGGTCATGGCTCGTCACATTTGCATGGACATTTTTGATCATGTTTGGCTATGATGCGAAAAACGTCATGCTTGCATGCTCATGGTGCGAATAGCAGCCTGCTTTGTGATTCATCACATCCTCTTCTTGCAGTGCTCACTACCCGTGCGTGGTCATGGTATGACTGACATTATGACCTGGTGGTCGTATCAAAACTCCCTCCTTCTCTCGTGTTGACTAGCGTTGCGCGATCCTGGTACGAATAGCGAGATGCTTAGTGGTTGCTACCCTCGCTCGTCCTGCGTACTGAAGTGCTGAATCAAGACCTGCTATCTGGCTCTGCATGGGAGGACTGGCGAGTGGCAGTTGCCCTGAGCGGCATGGATCTTAGTGCTGAGCTTTGGAACCGGCCTCTGATGTCTGCTTTGTTCATTGATCTCGTTGCTACGGGTGTGCGCCTGGCTACTATTGATGAAATTGGCATTCTGCGACACTTCTTCGAGAAACTCCTCCCCCAAGCCGTCGACGTCTTCCATGCAGCCTTTCCAATGTTCGACCCTACTGTAGACCCCTTTGGCGGGGTTAGCTGCGAACACTTCAGAGGCGTTCTGATGAAACTGGCCTGGTTAAAGACCGTGGATGGCTCCCGGATTGTTCAGGAGCCGGATATCCACGAGGCCTTTGACGATGGAGAGTCCGCTCTGCGGGTTGAGCTGGCAGCAGCCTTCTGGCAGGCGGCCAAAACTGGCAGGATTCGACTTTTGGATCATGGTGAGGGCTGTGTGCAGTTTCTGCACTTGCGCTTGCAAGACTACCTGGCCTCAGAGTACCTTTGGTATGAAGGCGATTGCCAGGCTTTGCGATGTGTCAGCGGGGCGGGTTACGTCGGCCAAGCCGCGGATGACGCCCGCTTTGCTGGCGCCCGGTCCTTGCTTGTGAATCTGCTCAGAGACGGTGCTGCGCGCCCTCGCACACCAGACTCGGACGAGGCCTGGTACCTGCTGTGCTCTGCGGCCATGTCCAACTCGGCTGAGGGAGCCCGATGTGCTCTGCAGCTCAGTCACACTCCCGACGCCGCCTGGGAGGTGCTCGGCCGCAGTGTTTTCGTGCCAATCCGACCTCGGCTCGGAGCCGCGGCCGTGCTGGTCCGGGCCATGCGCTGGTCTGACATGCTCCGCCACCAGGCAACATACCAGACGCTGTTGTTCTCTTTGTTGGCTTCCAATCCTTTGCCGAAACCTATCTCTTGCTCCTTTCTTGGTTGGAAGAAGGGCAATCTAAGGACTGCTGAACTGGTACGGCATTATCGGCAGCGGTGCAATGGGTCTGGGAGCTGCAGGCATGCTGAGCTAGTAAGGGCTTCGAGCCTTGATCCCTTGGCTCACCTTAAAGCTCCTGATGACTTCGAGTCCTTATGGGTGTTGGGTCCTGATGTACATCTGTTCTTCAACTTATCGTGGGTGGTTGGCGCACCAAGACGTTACCTGTTACCTCTTAAGGGTGGCCTAAGCAGAAACACAGCTTCACAAGGCCTCAAGCAGTGAGGATCACCTTCTGCAATAGGCCCATCCTCCTCCTGCTGCTAGCAAGCTTTTGCGCCGATCCCAATAAAGCCAGTACTAGTACGTGGCCGAGGCATGCGGTGAGGTGCAGAAAACGTCCAGGAGTCACCATCAATTACTAGTAGAGGGTAGTGCAATGCGTAGCACCGTTTCAAGAACATGGCACTGCCTTCCGGCCCGATGACTCCAGTAGACATCGGCAGAGCCTGACGCAAATTCTTGCAGGTGGCCCATGCACCGTCGCAGCCCTCCTCCTCTTCCTGGGCTGGCCAACTGTCCCTGGCTGGACTCACGTGCTCCTTGCTATGTCAGGAGTGCTCTACCTGACGCCCAGCGCAAGGTTACAGTCATGTTTGGACAAGGTTAAAGTCATTTTTGGGCTGTGTGCTGCTCACCTTCACATGTCGCCCTGCAAATATCGCGCGACTGAGGGCGTGGCTGGTCATGCTGTGCCAGCTCATCCTGCTCCATGTCTTCCGGCGTGGTGGCCGCTTATGGACCTTGCTGCTGGTGTTCAGTGTTGATTGGGAGCACTACCGCATTGCCATCGTGGGTTACGGCTGTGTTTCTCTACGAGCAGACGATGTGAACTTAAACCTCACGCTCTACATGGGCTACTGGAAGTGCCTTCTTGTCCCCTTCTTCTGGGCAATTCGTGCGCAGGCAGTGGTCCCACGGGTGATGCAGGCCATGGCTTACGTTCTGGGGCTCCTGGCGGGGACGACCTTCATGGCCATCCAAGCAGCTGTTGCCATCGTCTGCTCTTTTCCCGCGCAGCTCTTCTGGCTCTACTTGCTCCTTCCCGCGCATTTCATACGAAGCCATCTAGGCAGATGCCCATGTCTTGGGGCCGCCCGGAAACCTGGCTCACGCCTAGACCCCCAAGTCATGGGCTCACGCTTCTCGCTGGAGGACTGGTTTGGGGGCCCTGCAGTTGGTTGAGGGATAGTGCGGGTTGCTTCAAAACCCTGCAGGAGACTTGCTCTTCGTGCACACGGAACGAAAGCTTACGGAGCCTTGACACAGAGGAAGTGCCGAGAATTGGCCCAAAACAGGTTCTCCAAGCTGGACTTGATTTCCTCGGAGGCCACCGAAGTCCTCTGGGGAGCTCCCTAGACGCGGAGATGGTTTCGGCTGTGCCCAGTCCTTCTCCAGATAAGCGGCAGTACAGCAAGCGGCCAGGCACACACCATGACGGGCGCTTCTATTTTCCAGACTGGCTTTGCAGGTGCTTTCGCTTTTGAATGCATGTGCCTGGCAGCCACGTGAGTGAGGGCCCTGGTTAGTGCATGTTAGTGCAGTGGCAAAGCTTGCTGTGATAATACCCAAAGGAATGAATCATGACACGCCTAAGGCATTGTCGCAAATACACCTTCAAACTTAGAGCCAGCAGCACCTCCCCAAGGGCAGTGCTTGCGGAAATCGGTTGCTGCCCTGCGTTGCATGCATGCAAGACGACATTGCTTCAGAGAGTCTGTTTACACATTCACTCCCCGCCGCTTGGGCTCTTTGTGCTACGGGATCTCTCTTGCAGCGGCCCCGTCGGGACGTGAGCGCTCACGTGCCCGTGTGGATGCTTGAGTCGAGGCAAGAGCAACTCATACTCTGTATAGCTAGACAGCTCATCTTTTCTGCGCGATGAGCGGCCCACTGACAGGCCATGCCGGCACAAGTGGGAAAGTTTGAGTGGTGCTACGCCTCTGGTGAAGATGACAGTGAAGAGATCAAGGTTGGCCACCAGCTGTAGCTGCAACGTAGCAGCCCGCAGTCGGCTATAACCTTGAAAGCCTTGACCGGAGTGGTTCTTCTGCGAAATACGCATCAGGTCTTCGTGCCGGTTGATGAGGCCATAAAGGCCAAGGATTGCGAAGCTGGGCACTAAGAAATAGCGGAGACACACGCTTCAGAGGGCGTTTGGCTTGCAAATCCCAAGGTGAAAATCACAAAAAAGCTGCTCAAGGCCGGTTTCCCGGGCAGATTCCTCGGCTGAAGCCCCCAAAGAAATACCTTAAACCTTAAATAAGTAGCTTCTTCTCCATTATCCCAATATATCCCTAACATCTCCCCTATACATCCCCAATATACTATATAGTAGTTTCCATTTTCTTTCTCATTATCCCTAATATACCCTCTATACTTCCCCAACCCTTGCCGGGGGTCAGACTTGTCGCCGAAGAGGTGGGCCTGAAAGGCCAGGAACCCATCATAGCCAGGAGCCCAGGCTCGCAGGAGCTATATAAAATAAGTTAACAGGAATAACAGCAATTTTGTAATAGTAGTAATAATCGTAATAATGGTAATACTTGTAATAACAGTATTATTCGAAATAAGAGTAATGACAGTAAGAATGGTCATAATGGTAATGATAGTCATAAGTTCTAAGCTCCTAGTATCACCCCTTCATAACCTCCAGAATACTTCCCTATATAATCCCCAATACTAAGGAGGTCAGACTAGCTCACATCCTGACAGTAGAAGCCCTAAACCCTAAACCCTAAACCGCTTTCTTGTTTCTTGAGGATGACACCTTGTGGAAGGAGGTGGATGCAGAAGAGTCGAGCTGGGAGATGGAGAAGGAGCAACGGCTCCATAGTATAGTTTAGGAGGACCCCCCACCCTGTAAAGAGGACCCTAATATAATCCCTATTATCCCTTATAGTCACTGTTACTGGGTGGGGGGGTCCACCTAAAGTATAGTATATTGGAGTTCTATAGGGGATATATTAGGGATACATTGGGATACTGGAAAAGAAAATGGAAGCTGCTATGTCACTTCTCTGGCCTTTTTCAGTGTAGTTGTCTGAGGATAGCAAGGGGAGGCGATGTATTGTGCTCTCGCTCATGAAGAAGAGCAAGCCAGCAACCCAGGGAGCAAGAGGCTGCCGTTGAGTGGGATCTGCAGCCGGAAGCCCTGGCTCTTCAGGTGGGACAGATGGGAATATCTCGTCAGATGTGAAGATGTTCCGCCGGACACCACCATCACCAACAAGGCCGCGCATATCCGCACAGGCTAGCTTCCTCTTGTGGAGAGCGCGCATTTCAGTCAGAGGTCTTTATGGACATCTCCCTTGATGGGAATAAGTTGGGCCGAATTGTCATGGGACTCTATGGCAAGCAGGCCAGGTGGACACGATCAGTCTGAGATTCTCAGTTGTTGCTGGTTCCCAGGTCCCGAAGACAGTGGGCGCCCTACAGTTTAGGCTTTAGGGTTCAGGCTTCACTTTGAACATTCTCTTCTCATCATCACTACCGCTGCTCCCAGTGCTGCCGCTGCCACTGCCGCTGCTGCTGTTGCTGATGCCACCATGCCTATGCTAGTGAGTCATTGGCGGCTTTGAGTGGTTCTTCTTACTGTGCTGGATAGTATGGAATGAGGGAAAATAATACGGATGTATACATGGGACTATGATTATACACGGATTATGTTCCCTCATTCCCTACAAACCGCTGGAAAGTCTTAGCACTGAAGGCTGACAACTTCAGAGCCCTTTGCACGGGCGAGAAGGGTGAAGGGAAGGCTGGATTCCAAAGCACCACGAGCTCACACAGTCATAAGAAAAGATTGGGTTATCCAAAATTGGGGCTACCTTTTTTGGGGGTCCCTAGAATATAAGGACTATGCCGTTTTGGGGTCTGCATTTGGGTCCCCCTATACCGAGAATCTACCAGATAGCAAAACTGAGCGTAGCCGTAGCACTACTGTAGCTAGCAGTATACTACTCGTAGTGGTCATGGCGAAGGTCGCAGTCATACTGCCTTGATTTCAGCAGTGACACCGACACATAGAAGCAACATGGCACCAGCAGCAATTGTTTTAGTGGCTGTAGCAATGCGGGACGACAATGACCGGGATCATGGTTTAGGGAATACATTGTTTTTTTGTGTAGGGCTGCGGGGCAAGAAAATGCAAACTGCCACATGATAATAGGGTATATATTGGGGTTTTATAGGGATAATATACTATAATACACCAAAATATACCATGATATGCCATAATATATCATGTAAAAGGGTATATATTTTTTGAGCACATACCAAAGCCCGGCGGCTGATCTGGCCCTGCAAGGCTGGCAAACCTTTGCATTACAAGGCATGGCGTGCAGCTTATACCCAGACCCCCGAAAGGATCCAACAAATGGACCCCCCGCCCAATATGAGCCCATTGCTATACTGGGGAAGCTATGGGATTTTTTAAGGGTACCATTTTTTGGGATCCGTTGGGGGGGTCTGGGAATGCTGTCGCGCAACATTCGTTGATGTCGCACGACACTTGGGCAGGGTTGCAGCTTCCATCGCATTATCCCGAGATTCATGTGCCAGGCAGGAAGCAGGAGTGCTCTGATTTTGGCTTTCTTTGACAGATGGCAGGGTGGGGACTTCACCCACGGCAACGGTACCGGCGGCGAGTCAATCTACGGAGCCCTGCTTTGTTCTGCATGCGCATGCACAGTTTCTTCACGAGTTGGCGTGTAACACTCAGATGAAAGAGGTTGACCTCGAAGGCAGAAGCATCAATCAGGCTGATGAAAGGTCAAAGGGGCCAGGGTTTAAAGCCCGCACAACCCTAGAAATTCTTCGAATCCACATATTATAGCCCGGTGTATCGTCCCATCATAACCTTAGACAATCTTTAATACAATCTCTACAGAACCCCAAGAATCCGTGTATGTGTATATATATATATATGTATATATCCCTGCATAGCCCTATGCGTCTATGCATATCTTGTTATGTTTGCCACCGGATTATCCCCATATGATCCTTAGATTGAGCCATGGAACGTGAGAAGGTTCGTATTGGTCGTGCATTTTTTAAAAGTCCAAGCGCTGAGATGCATTGGGTAGTTTGCGCATTCCTCTACCAACCCTAAGCCCTAAACCCTGACTTAGTGGGGATTAGTAGGGAATTAGGGAATACGGGAATATATCATATAGGGAATATGTAAGTGTAAGGGTCATATTCTTTTGTTCCCCAGAAAGCACTAGTAAGCTAAACCCTAAACGGCATATTGTGCTGCTTTGTAAACCCCCCTGAAGCTTACGCAACCTGCAAGTCAATCTGAATGAGATTCCCTAGCAATCCTGTGGTTTTCCACAGACATTCCCATCGTGTTCCGCAACATCTTCTGGAGCTCCCATAGACATCCCAAAGAAGTACACGCTGAAATTCCAAGAAAGAGTTTCGCCAGTCTAGTTGGAGAGTCTCATCTTCGGCCGCGATCAAGCCGACTGAGACCAAAAAGCGTCAGCTCGCTTCGCCATGCCATATCATATGAGCCATAGGCTCAACTCCTTCAAGAGGGTTATATAGGGGATTATATAGGGGATTATTATAGGGATATCAGGAGTGTAGACTATAGCTCATCTGAAATGTATGGCCAGGCTAAGTGATACAAGACGCAAACTTCAAAGGGAAGGCCAGGAACTTTCACAAATATCCAGGGTTTCGGGTTTAGCGTTTAGTGTTTTTTTTGCTTGCAGGGCTTTGCATCGTCATGTTGTTTCTTAGCGGTTTACTTTTCCGAACGACGCCCACTAAATGTCTAATCTGGGAATATCCATGTGTATTTGAAAGTGTTGGAAGCCAACGAGGAGAGAAGTTCGCCGACGAGAATTTCCGTGTGAAACACACGAAGCCTGTGCCTTGGACCATTGCTGGAGCGCCTAGCGTCCCGGGGGATTTGTAGGAAATACGGGAATGCAATCCCGATATACTTGTTCCCTATGAGCCCCTGTAAAGCACTTCGGAAGTGGGACACCATATCGAGATGTGTCGAGACATATCCAGACACCTTGCATGCAGGAATTGGTCTGCCTGATTCGCGGGTTTTTTAAGAGCAAGATACTTGGTCCTCAAGCAGGTGCTTGTCGCAAAATTGTTGAGACACATCAATCGCGAAAGTTGCCTGCACTCAGTCTTACTTTCACAATTCATCTGCAAGCACGAGAACCAGCATTCGTACCACATTTTTGCGTTTGCCGTGCGGTTCCTTACGCTAGGATACCCAACAAAGAATTTTTCAAAACAGTTGTGGCAAGATTTTCGATTCGAGTGACCCCGTTCCGTAAACCCTTACATTTTCACCCCTGGCTCCCCAAGACCATGTCATGGATTACTGCAAAATACGCTTGGGCTGCTTAGGCCAGGTCTGCTGAGCATGGCCAACGCGGAGCACTGAGCTGAAAGGTTATATAGGCACCGTACAAGTTTAAACAGGGATTGTTCAGCGTTATTTGGGTTACATGTTGTTACTCTTGGAGCCAACGAGCTTCGGAATGGATGTTTTGTGTACTGGGGTTCTGGAGTTCTCAGAATCTTCTGGGTCCTAAAACATGAAGACCGCAGGCATCGCGCCCAGAAGCGGATCTACAGTGCCTCTTGCTGACCGTGGTGGGGGATGACTGCGGACATGTGAACCCGCACGTGCCCACAAGATGGGTTTCGCGGTAGGACGCCGCAAAAGTTTGGAAGGCCCCCCAGGCCACGCTAAGATGTGCATTGCAAATCAATGCTGACCTCACATGGGGTTATCTAGACATTCGAAATGCCAAAATCGAAAATATTTTAGGCTGCACGATTTGGTCAGCAAAGGAGTCATAACCAGTCATCTTTCGGGGAAAGGACCCATCTACATAATCGTGACTGATTCAATTTCACTACCTGCAGTCTAGCGACTGCATAAGCAAGAACCATGAGAGTGGTTCCAGCCAACATGGCGACCAAGTCATGTTCAGCCAGGTCGCACTCGTTGTCGCAAATGGTATGAAATTGAAACGAGATAGCACCCAGCTCCAGTAATGTAAGCTTACTCTGGCGCGCAAACCCATGTCTGGTTTAGGACGTTTGCTTCGAAAGTGCCATGAACTCACGGCGGGTCAAAGGTTGCTGGGTGCTTGTGACATAATAAAGCTGTGAGAGCGTGGGAGATGAGGCCGGCCCGGGCACAAATGGTAGCCAGTTCTTCCTGACCGTCAAGGAGGGAAGTGGGGAGCATTCGTACCGCGGTGTAGGCTATTTTTGTGCAGTGCACGTAGTCAGGAAAAGCAGTGATTACTGAGCCAGGAAACCCCGCACCTGGATGGCAAGCATGTCGTTTTTGGGGAGGTGCTTGAAGGCTATGACGAGGCCGCCTTTTCAAGGGGTCTCTTACCGCAGACTGCCTTCACCACGGGAGGTTCTCACGTTTTGCGTCTCTTTTTTTGGGTCCTCGTTCGATAGATCTGTTGCCGCGCATTGACTGAAGAAGTATAATTGGGGATCTGGCACATCTTTGCGCCTGGGTATCCTGGGGTTTGGGAACCATGGGTGTCTTGCTGGGTCAGGTGGTGAAAAAGATGGAGGAGGCGGGATTTCGAGTTCATGGGACTGGGTGAACTGATGTGAAGTGTTGCCAGACCCAGTTTCAAGTTTGTGCAAAGGTCGGGCAGACATCAGGGACCCCCTCGAAGAAGGTGAGGGATCTGCAGTGCAACATGCCGCATGAAGCGTAGACCCTTTTGGGGGTGGCAGGTCCTGATTGAGGACTGCGGGGAACTCTGAGATGACCTGTGCGCGAACACAGCGCAACCCCCTTGTGGAGCCACAACCTTTGTCGCCGGCTCCATAGCACATCGTAGCACGCTTCCCAGCCAAAGCTTGGAGCGTTACTCTAAGCACCTTAGGCCTCTGCGCAGAATTCGTGCGCGAGGTTTTAGACCATCACTCATAGACCAACAAGCGTCTTGTGCGTGCGCCCGAAAGTCAGCCAGTACCACCTAGTTAGGAGTTGACAAGGTCAGTTTGTTTTGTGGCGAGCTGGAACATCTTCGTAGAGACTCTGCTTTGTTGGATGCTACCTCAAGCCGAGTATACGTGGAATAGCAGGACTTCCAAAGTTTCTGTGCAAGAAACCTAACGTTGTCAAGTCCATCTGTGGCTTTGGGCTCAAGCTGCTCTCCAAGCCTGGGCTTGACAAAGCAAAAGACGCTGGTAGTCAGGCTTGGGTCGAGCCACCACTCTCATGGAGGACTGCTGCATGCTGCCGCGATCTTGTGTTTGGCAACCTGAGTGTCTCCATGGTGCATTTGGAGGACTTTGCGCCAGTGCCTACTGAGGTGGGCTTGCTTATGCTTAAGGAGAGCCTCGAAGCCTCTTGCAGTGCTCGTGTCAGGCAGCAACGCAAGCAGTTCCTACTCAGGAGGCTGAGCTATCTAATGCGCAGCAGCATCTATTTACCAGAGTCGGCATGTCAGAACCCTGCACATGGGACTTGCTCATCCTCTTTGTCCCTTTGCATCCGGGTCTGCCCGTGTCATTTTCTGTGCAGGTATGCATGCCCACCCAGGACATCCTTGCAGGTCCTCGACCACGCACACTAGAGGAGGGCTTGGCTGGGTTTGGGGTTGGCAGGCTTGCCAAACTACTCAACCAACCCAGACCACCTTTGCATCTTGGTAGGAGTGGGTGGATGTGGGCCAGCAGGTCAAGCGCTACTCAGACGCACAATTTTTCTCTGTGCTGCTTCTGCTAACGTCCCGTTTTTGATGCGCTGCAGGTCGCCGCAAGTCTGCATTCAAGGCCCCTGTGCAGGCCGCATGCACGTCCTGTATGCATGCATGCATTTATATGCTCCGTGTGACAAGGGGGGCACGCAAACGGATGAATTCCAAGACAAAACAGGAAGGGTTTTTACACAAGAACCGGCAAACTACAACTAGTGGCTTCTAATTGTCTTTGAAAGACAGAAGTACATAAGATCCTGACGTGGGTGCTAGGCAGGGTCAGAAGGCCTGTGTTGACACCAACTGCAATCTCTTTCTTCTGATTGCAGGTGTAACGCTTTCTTGTGCCTTAGTTTCCTTCAGAGATAAACTTTGAGGAGATCTCATCTAACGAACGTACTGATCTGGGGCTGTCCTGCATGAAGTTTCACGCACATCATGCTACACATGCTGGGAGCACCTGCAGTACAACGGCTTAGAAGGCTGAGACTTTACTGTTGAAGTTTGGGAGAAGGTTATGTGTGGTTGATGGAATTTTGGCTCTGTGTCTATGTGCCGGTGAAGGCCAATCTATGCGCGTTTGTGTCTTGTTTCTTCTGACCTGTATTATAACTCTATTATAAGCCGGTACATAATGCCCGTTTCCAGTTGATTTTCCATCTTCTTTTCCGTTTGATCCCTATTATTGCTTTTGTAGCCTAAGCACCAGAAAAGGGTCTCCGAGCCTGGTAATTGGAACTTTGCGATCTGCCAGTTCTTACTGTTGGGACTTCATGGTTGTACATTCTAACTACTGGGGCCTTTCCTACACCCTGGAACCCCATAAACCCCAAACCTTGAATTCTAGGAGTGCATCTGCTTGCAGGAGCCCTCCAAACGTACCAAGCCATCGCCCAGCAGTCGTACTCCGGTTCGTGAGGCCTCTTCAGTCAAGGCTTAGAGTTTAGGGTTTCGGGTTTGGGCATCCTTCAGCGCACAAAAAAGTACGGCGTACTCGGAAAACATGCCTCCTGCCTACTGTCTGCCCGACTTCCAGATTGGATCTGCTTCAGGAGGGTTTTTCTGGTTTGCCTCGGAATTAGCATGCAATTGCACTTGGAGCGGCTTCAGGGCGCTGCGTCGAAGCGCAAAACTGGGCTGTCATCGGCGAGGCTTGCAGAGGCCATGGGCTAGCGGCTAGAGCATGCTGCCTCACGAGCAAGATTCTCATTTTCCTCAGGTACATGATGCCAGCCTCCCCTGTCGAGAATTTTCAATATGATCTGTATGCCATTGCGCTTCCCTGCTTGATTTCTTGCATTCCCTGTCTGTGGCTCCAGCAAGACGCCACAGAACTCGCGACCCACACAAGGCCTGTGTACGGAGCAGCTAACTCCACAGACCTCCAGAGGCCCCTGCAACTCCTTCCATACATCCCGGAAGTTTGCAGGAACTGCTCTCTGCCTCGGGAAGCAAAAGCTCTGGAACGCGCCCCCGGCTTTGAGATTCCACTGCTTGCCATGGCAGAAGCTCCCAACGACCGTGTTCTTACTGAAACTGTGCGCGCGCCCCACAACGCCGTGAAGGCTGAGAAGTTGTCGGTGTACCTGGGTTCTCGGTGTCTCCTGACGAGCCTTAGCTAAATCAGACAAGGGGGCTTCCAACTGGGAGCTCTGTCGACCGAGGAACACGGAGCTGAAGATCGCAGAGCGCCCAAAGCATGGCACGTGCTATGGCCTGGTCGGCTGCAACGGATCCGGGAAAAGCACGCTTCTGCGGCTCATGGCGGAGAGGAAGCTGCCGGTGCCTGAGACCTGGGATGTGTTCCTGCTCGGGCAGCACATCCCACCTGCAGAAGATCAATCGGCCATTGAGGAGGCCTTTGCCATCAGAGTTAAACTTACCTAAGGGTTATGTTGGGGTTATGTTAGGCTTTTATAGGGATTATATTGGGATAATGGAGAAGAAAACAAAAAACTATAGTATATCAACCCTAAACCCTCAAGTTCCCAGGGACCAAGCAATGTCTGTGAGGAGAGCATAGAGCATGGCCAGGTCCTTTCCGTGTGCCCTCGGAGAAGTGCCTTGCTGGCGGAAGCCGAGAGGCTTCATGGAATTCTTGAAGCTGGTCCAGAGCCAGGGCTTCTGGAACAGCTGCAGAAGGCCTGAGCTGAGAAAGTAAATAGTAGTTTCCATTTTATTCTCCACTATCCCTATATGATCCCTATATTCCCCCTATAGTAGAATACTATATTACCCCTATATTACCCCCTATAAGGCCCTTAAAAGGGGGGACAGATTCGTATCCCTAAATTTCTGCGCATCTAGCTGAGAGTTTGCATTTGTGCACGCTGCAGGTCCATGCGGACCTGGCTGAATGCCAGAGCGCCCGCTCAGAGGTCCTCCACATCATGCAGAACCTGGGCTTCCGGGCGGAAGCACAGGCCTCTGCCACGCCGGCAGTCTCCACGCCGCTGCCGCAGCTCTCAGGGGGCTGGAGGATGAAGGCAGCAGGGTGAGGGATGACCGCAATGGTCCTTACTGACGTGAAGTGATGTGAAGTAGCTTGACTTGTTTCGTTTCCCCTGTGTTTGGACCAGAGATTGGATGCTTTTGGCAGGTCGAGCTTGCCAAGGCACGGGCAGTACTGCAGCGACTGCACCGAAGACGAGCTTGCTTTGTCAGGCGTTGTGGTTGCGGCCAAAGCTACTGCTGCTCGATGAGCCAACCAACCACCTGGACTTCCATGCCCGAAGCTGGCTCATGCAGCAGCTGGCAGACTATCCCCGCACTGTTGTGGCATCCTGGCAGAACATCTTTAAGGTTCATGCGGTTTGGTTGCCGTGATGGCTGTCACATGCAAGGTGGTTTCGCACGATGTGGAGTTTCTTCACGAAGTTTGCAAGGACCCTTGCAAGCAACATCGTGCCGCCAGCACAAACAAATCTGTGCAAACTGCCACGGCAATTCCGACGTCAGAAATTCCTGGGGCTAATCGTTTAGCGCAGGACATTATCTGGATGACCGAGCAAAGGCAGGGCTGCTGCGTTGATCTGTGTTGCCGGGTTGCAGGGTCGTTCTGCTCGTGCCACCTGCCAGGTTGGAGGCTTTGCCGGGCAAAGTCGTGTCGCAGGAGGACCTGCTGCGAATGCAGCGCCGGCGGCCGCTCCGCTTTGAGTTCCGGGTGCCCGCGGGAGAGGCGCAGCCATGCCTGACACATGTCCAACGCAAATCCAATACAGCACTTGAACCCCAAGAGCGAAAGGGGACCTGCGAAGAGAGATCCCTCCAAGCGGGTGCCAATTTCTTTGTTGATAGCTAGCAGCTAGCAAGCGGGGCTTGGTTGCGTCCAGGCATTGTGGTGATCTGTTGCCGAAGGTTGCAAAGGGTGTCGGTACAACTTGTGCTTATCCTTCGTGGTCTTGGCCCAAAAGTTCGGTTCCGTCACATGTTTGGTGCCAGGATCCAGTTTCGCACGGGATTTCCTTGCACAACGTTGACTTCACTTATGGTTGCGTGGCCGCATTTGAAGCTTGAGTTTGGTACGAGTTGCATCGATGCCTCAGCCAGGAGATGGCACAGGGCTCTTCGTGGAGTCCCTCCGCCTAAGCGGCTGCAGTAGAGCTGTGCTTCTGGGCCAGAACGGCGGGGGTTGGGGAAATTGATGTTCAGGAGTGCATTGTCGGGACATAGAGCACAAGCACCTCATGTCCTGCAAATCCGATGTCAATCCCTCGCACCTTGAAGGTGGTGGAAAGTCCACTTTCTTGAAGCTTTGCGCAGGGCACCTGCAGCCAGGCCGGATGCATTGTTTGCAGAGGAGTGGTGGAAGCATTTTCATCTCATTACATGGCAGTGAGTAAGTTTAAGGGTGAGGAAGTGATTTCGCGGCCTTGCTTGGGATTGGAGGCCGAGGGGCTGTCGACCGAACACCTGGGCTGAGGGTTGGCCACTTCTCGCAGCTCAGCCAGGCCACAATGTGCCAGCATATGCCAGCATCAGATTGAACGAGAACTGGACGCAATTTGCCAGGACCTGGATGCCATGTCAGACCTTACCGCTGCAGAATTCCTGCTTCAACAGTGTGGTGAGGACTGCAGGATACTGCAAGCACTTCTCTTTATTTATGATCTCCACAAGTCCGGACATCACAGGAGCTGGCCCAACACGCCGGCTCTACCCACACATCCCGCCTCCGTGCGGCTGTGAACCAGGCAAGGTTTGGTTCGCTCAGCTGGTTCCAGTTAACAGCAAAGAACATGCGGCGTTGCATGCGCTGCCAGGCTCCTGAGGCTGCTGCGAATGGCCCCCGCGCCGCGAAGTCCAAGGTCTCTGAGAAGCGGCTCTTGGAGGTGGCGCGTGGTGTGCGAAGCTGAGGTTTTGATCAAGGGTCGTGAGGGTTCCCCATTCTCAGCACCTGAGGTGTTGAGCAACTACGGTCTCGAGGGGGACGTGGCGACAAAGGTCCCCGTGGACTGTCTCAGTGGTGGGCAGAAAGCTTGCCTCAAGCCTCTTGGATCATTTGCAAGTGATGCAAGTGCAAGCACCCCACACACAGACATGACGTGGCAATGAATGAGTGACTAGGTTTGCGCCTGGCAATTAATGAGTGACTAGGTTTGCAGTCCTCTCGCAAACGCCAGCGCACATTCTGCTGCTGGACGAGTGACTCTTCTCAAGAGGTGTGCTGCGGTTGTAGGATGTTGTAGGCCAATCCGCAACGAAAGCATCACCGTCGTACTCATGATGCTGAGCATGGTGTTGATCTCCGATAATAAACAGCATATTAACAGCAACAACTGTTGATATCCGATCAATCGCAGTCACAGGGATCGGGGGTCCTCGTTGCGAAAGGCAGAACTGTCGTCACTTTTGGACTTGCGTTTGGTCCTCGCGCCTCAAGAAGTGTCAACAGTCAACAACAGTCACAGGTGTTGGTGGAACCACGTGCAGCATGGCCACTGTCAAGGATGACACACACCCGGCCAAATCTTTGGCTCAAGACTGAATGAGCGCCGAAGGAAAGATGGGTTAGTTTCTGGAGATCGTGGTGTGTTGATGGGGCCGGAGTCCTACACATTTCTTTTAATCGGTTCGACGACCTCCCCTGGTCGATACAACAACGCAATCTACAGGCTCTGGAGGCTCCACCCCATCTTGGTCATTTTTCGATAGTGGGTAGCATTCCCGATCAATCCGCTCATCATCAACAGGTGATGAGGCCAAACCTCCAAGATCCAAACCATGCATCACCCCAACAGCAGCAGCAGCAGCGCCAGCAACAGAACCATGCGCAAGTCTTGCTACGGAGTCTTGCTCAAGTTTCGATCCCAGAATCTGTTCTGACGAGTCTTCAACAACTTGCAGTGCAGTGGCTTTGGAGCAGCGCGCTAACGGGATTGCCGATGTGCAGTCCATGGAAGGTCACACCCTCCAAGCACGTCAGCGACGTCTGGAGGCATTGGAGAGCACCATCAAAGACAAACTCGAGAATGTGGATCCACGCGTAGAAGTCTTGGAAGGTTTGGTAAGGGATTTGCCGGGGAAATTGCAGACCCAAGAGGCAGTGATTGGACAGTTTTCCACGGTTGATGTTCGACCTCGGGAGACAGATGATGGGAACAATGACGTTGCCAGGGCGTCCCAGGACTTTGCAAGTGGATGCGGTGGCAGCTTTTCGAGATCAGGTGGGCTCGTTGGGGGTGGATGTCTCCCAGCTGAATGCCCAATGAAGAATGACGACAGGCGGTGGCGCAGTGCATTGCAGAGGGTGGAGGCATTGGAAACAGAGTCCACAAAGCTGCATCAGCGTTGCGATGAGACCGAAATGGCCATGAGCGAGAGGACTCGGTTGCTTTCTCAAGGAGATGTGTCGTCTGGGGCGGTGCCTCAGCAGGAAGGTGGGCGCGGAGCGCCCTCACAACACAAGAAGATCGAACCCTTGGACCTCGACCCCAAAGGAACGGAGTGGCATCAGATGTCACCCGAAGTTGGCGAGAAGCAGGAGTGTGTGGAGGTCGGCGGGTACGGTGAAGACTGGCCCGAGCCCACGCGTTGGCCAGACCCTGGTTGGGGACCAGCGTCAACTTCTGCAATACTGCAAAGAATCATTCGAACCAGTACATTGGGAGCTGCTGAAAGATTGTCCGGGCCGCAAGCTAACCCAAGGAGAACCTTGGGAGTTGGGGTTAGCGCTTCGACAGTGGGAAACCGAAACGAGCTCCAAATCTTTAGCCGTTGCAGGGTCCTTTGGACAGTTTTTTCGATTGAGAATGCAGCAAGCCCTTGCGCGCTACCATACCAGAAGGCAAGCTACATCGGTCGAGTTCGAAACGAGGCTGGGAATCATGTTGACTAAGAATTTACCAGCAACCGTCAGACAACCTGTGATGGAGAGAGACCAGGGGCGGAACATCTGGTGTCTACATTGCTTTTGTTGGAAATGGTCATGGAACGTTTTTAGAGATGACATCCTTGCTACAGCTTCAGCGTCCTTTGCCTACTCCTGGGACACTCAAAGAATTGTTGAGTATCATCAGCAGGCTTGAGTTGGCCAAAGGACGATATGAATTCTTGAAGGTGCCACCGATTGCGCCGCGTGAGATTTCTCTGTCCCTGGAAGAGCTTACGAAAAATCTGAAGAAACGTCACTCAGCATTGGCTATGAGGTCGAACCTGATTCGGTTGACCCCTGAGGTTGTGGTCCCTCCAAAGTCGGGAATGCAACGTTTACTGACTACACTGGTGTAGGAAGGTCGACGTATGCAAGCCGAGGATGAGGATTGCAAGTTATCGAGGCCGCCAGGAAGCCTTGGAGACGGATGGGCAAGCGAATTAAGCAAAGGGGCCAAGGGTGGAAAAGGAGGCAAACACCAAAGGACCGTCCCCTGCGCATTTTTTAATTTGGATCGTGGTGGCTTGAAAGGAGACGCTGCCCGTATTTGCATCCTACCTCCAAAGGTAGCAAGGGCAAGGGAAAGAATCATGGCCAAACCAAGAAGGGCAGCGACGAAAACGCAGCGGCAGCGGAGGTTCAACTTGAAGCAAAGGCAACAGCAAAGGCGCAAGCAAAAGCAAAGAAGCAAGCCCAAGCAACAGGGAACGCAGCGGCTGGAGAAGAGGCAAAGATCGCCCTAGTGGGAGCAGGGTCTGTAGCAGCATCGGCCATGTCTGTAGTGAAGTCTGATAGAGGTTTTGATGCAGATGATCCGGGTCGTTCTGAGCCGGATTCGGGCGCGTCAACATCGAGCTTGGGCACACCGACTGAGCGATCTAGTGAGGAGGAGCCAGACCATCCGCAACGTCGCGTGCCAACGCCACGGCTTTGGTATTTGGTCCTCACGCCAGCAGACTTCATTTATTGGACTAGGCCTCAGCAAGTGATGTGCAGAGCAGCGCGGGAGTTCCATGAGTCAACGGGTCCCTATGACGTGGTTCGTGGTTTATGGCTGGCTTCTCTTGGAAGATTCCGGGTTCGACTTCCCCATTGAGGGGGAGCAGATTGGACCCGGACAATTTGTGCTCAGCGCCAGGGAGATTCTCTGTGAGTGCATGGATAACATCATAAGGCCAGTGGTTGTTGTCCACATTTTGGATTCAGAAACCGGCCAAGAACAGATGCTGGCTATAGCAAATCACCAGGTCTCTCCGAGAGTCCGTCCTTGGCAGTTGCATCAGGCCTCTTTAGTAATCAGGAGAGCGTCGCGCTCAGTCAGTCTTGAGCCAAAGATTTGGTCGGGTGTGTGTCATCCTTGACAGTGGCCATGCTGCGTGTCCTCCTCATCTGCTTGGCCTACAAGCCTGGCAGATGTCCCGTTCATCCTTTGCGTTATGCCGTTCAGTTCTTTTATCGAGGCTCCCCTTCACAAACCACACGCAATTCTGTGCCACGGGGATCCTCCAACCACCTTTCGCCGCCGCTGTGCTCTGTGAAGGTTTTGATGTATGTTGGGAAACCCTTGGCATTTTTGTCTTTGTGCGGTTTGAAAGCCACTGAATTCCAAACTCTGCGCCCGGCACTTCCTGACAAAGGTATCTGGTCAGAAGCCGTGCAAGTAGAGGCGGCTGCTGTGTCACCGTGGTGAGTCCAGTCATAGGGCCGTGTGCAAATTCTCCAAAGATCCAGGCCCGTATCTTGCCACCCTCCTCGGGTCTTCTCCACTCGGGCGGTACGTGTGGACTCCAGCGCAGCTAGATCCAGAGCATACTGAACATCCGCGTTGGTGACAGTCCTTCTGAAGTATCTCTTGGATTGTGTGCTCATACGCCGCCTCTGCCACAGCCTTGGAGCTGTGAACTTTAAACTCCGCAGTTTCCAGAAGGTTCTGAAAGATGATAAAGTTTTCCACATGTTCATGTCCGGCCAGCGCCCTCGCTGGCCGAATGCGTCCTTCCGAGGACTTCCACTGTCTAGATAGCATTTTGCGCAACACAGCAAACTCCTTCCAAGTCATGTGTGGCAACCCGCTCTTTACTCGGCAGAGCTTTCTGATTGGTCCAATGGAATCCCCCACTAATCTCAATGACCCACGTGACACCCAAGATCCACCCAGCGCCGGAGTCACTTTCATGGTCAGATTCTGGACTCTGCAGAACCGCCTCGCCCTCCTTGGTACGAAAGCCTTCTACCACCTCTACTGAAGCCAGGATAACGCGCGCGTGAATGGACTCCGGCGGTGTTGGGACAGTTGGGTACCTCGTTGGCAGCTCCACAGGACCAGTTAGGCCTTCTGCAGTAGCAGTTCCAAAATGCTCCAACCGATTGCGTGCTCCATACAGTATCTCCTCCTGACCAAGGATTTCCTGCAACTCCCTATAGCAGATTCACAGAAGGAAAGATGGGTTGGTTTCTGGAGATTTGAATCCGTTGGACGACCTCCCCTGGTCGATGAGACAACGCACTCTACGGGCTCTGGAGGCTTCACTCCATGTTAGTAATTTTTTGATAGTGGGTAGCACTCCCGATCAAGCAACCACTCATCATCAACAATAGGGATCGGGGGGTCCTCATTGCGAAAAGCAGAATTGTCGTCACTTTTGGACTTGCGCTTGGTCCTCGCGTCTCCAAAGCGTTAACCGTCAATTCAATAACAGACACAAGGATCAGGCATGTCCCCGTTGCGAAAAGCGGAACGATCGTCACTTTACGTCTTGCCTCTGGAGAGCGGAAGGGCCGGCCACTCTGAGCGGAGTGCTCCGGCACTCCGCTGGGGAGTCGATCCACGCCGAGGATGCCGAACTAACAAACATTTCGATTGTACA